GACTTGTCGACTATTTTCTCCTGCCTGTATACACGAAGTGGATTGTCTTTATAAAGTATCATCTTATTACGTTACGTTACTGTGTTAGTGTGGGGCGATTTTGGTATAAACTAGCGATTTCTTTTTACTTATTATATGCCCCCATATATTAGCGTTATACGTGCACGTGCTCCTTAAAAGCAATCTTATAGATAATTCTATCGAACCAGCAACTATTTTAAAAACGGAACAATTGACTCAAATTTCCTGACTGATTTCAGCATTTTCGCCATTTTTTTTAAAAAGATGTGCCAATGCTTTAATTCCAAATTAAAGGGATTCAGTCGTGAGTACAATGTTATCATTCGCACAGTCTGTGGGTGTGATCTCAAGGAAGCTTATATATAAGCATCTGTCCTGCGCACAAGAAATATATCTGTTTTTCCTTTCAGAGCGAAGTGTACACATTTTTTACTTTTCCATTCGGGCTCAGCCTAACTCTGCATGGGTTCAACATGTGCATAGAGGCAGCATTTTCAATGCTGAGACACAATGGGCTCAGAATATCTGCTCATCTGGATGATTATCGTACATGCGCTCACTCACGGGAGTGTGCAGAATGGGACACAGAGATGCTCTCTTCTCGTTTCACGAATCTGGGGTCCAGAATCATCTACGCCAAAAGCCAGCTGATTCCATCTCATGAGAGAACCCGGCATACTTTGCTCTTGGAAAGAATGATAATGGCGTTTTATCAGTGCCTAGCCCAGTTTCGCAGGGGAACCTTGGTATTGTTCAGGACCTGAATCTTTGAGATGGTCCTCAATGCAGAACATGGAATGCAGGGAGAGGAGTTGGATCCAAATTCAACCTGATTCCTAACCCCACCCCTAATCCTCACCCCTTTAGATCTGGATCCAACTCCAACTCTATTATTATTATTATTTTTTTTTTCAGTTCAGTTCATCTTTAAGTTCTTTAGCCTTTGTAGGGCTGTTGCTCTCCACCGACAGCGCTGATCAAAAGCATGATAGGAAACCACTGTCGACACAGCTTAATGCTCATTGGTTTAAACAACCGTGATGTATTGTTGTATTTTAAAATGTTTGATTTTAAAACTCTGATATCATGTTTTATGTGTATATGTCACAGGCTGGCTCAGTTCTTTCTTTTTTTTTTTTTTTTTTTTTCTTTTTTTTTTTTCCCTCTGCCTAATTAAAGGAAACTTAAGAAGTGCAGCTAACCAAGGGGCAGAAGGAAATGTGGCTGGCGGGGGTAGTCAGGGAGTAGCTCAATTGTTGGTGCCATGGTTTATGGGGGGGCCATGGATACCCCGTTTTAGTGGGGAGAAGGGAAAATTTAGCTCATGGAGGTCTCAGGTAGAAGCTATGCTGAGGGCCCAAGGGCTAACTACACAACAAGGTGTGGACTTTTTGTTGGCAGCTTTAGATGGGGAGGCGAGGCGTCAGGCGCGGTTATTCAAGACAGAGGAGAAGGCTGATGCTAAGGCACTGCTGGACGCCCTGCAGAGCAAGTATGGTGATGGAGGAAGTCGAGCCCAGCGGAGGTCCAGGTTCTTCAGCTGTAGGCAAGGTCAGGATGAGGGAGTGGGATCCTTTATCTTGAAATTGCAGGAACTTTATTTCGACTGGCAAGGACGTGAACCAACCCTAGAGGAAGAGGGCGAGTACCTGTTAGATCAGTTCACCTTGAACTTAAGACCAGGCCCAATCCAGCAGGAGATTCATCGGCAAGTGCGCCGCAATCCACAGTTGACGTTTGCCGCTGTCTGCACTGAGGCTGTGGCTCTTGAGCAGGAGCAGCAACATGGAGAAGACCACACCTGGGTCAGACGGGCTGTGACACCCACCGTAGCAACCTCACCAGTTAACACCCTGCACTGTAATGCATCCGACTTAAGTCAATTGAAAAGCGAACTCCAGGCAGAACTGCGCAAAGAAGTGACAGAGCAGCTGAAGGGTTTGAGTGCCTCCATTGTTGAAGAAATCCGCAAACAAATATCACCCACCCCCCTAATGGCCAGTCAGCCCGACATACCACCCCTAACTGTCATCCCACCCCAACTGCCCAGTGGTCCAACTGCACGATCAAGACCTCAACAGACACCACCAGGCAGGGGTTCTTTCCAGTGGGATGCCGAGGGGAGGCCCATATGCAGGGACTGTGGAGGAGTTGGGCATATCCAGAGGTATTGTCCAACTCGCCGTAGGTCGACTTCGGGTTTTTAGTGCCCCCTGCCACTGAGGGGCGCGTGGCAGGGACTGTTGCCCACTCTGCTGGAGTGACCAAGTCCCAGCTTGTAGGAGAATGTCCATATGTTGAGGTGGAGGCTAATGGAAAAATGATCTCTTGTGTCCTTGACACTGGCTCACAAGTCACTTTGGTGAGTAAAGCCTTTTTTATAAGACATTTTGGGAATATTGACATGAATTGTGCCCATGACTCTCCATGGCTAACCTTACGAGCTGTTAATGGACTGCAGATACCGTATGTTGGTTATGCAATTGTTGATTTCGCTGTTGGCGGTGTCCAGATTCCACAGAAGGGGATGGTGGTGGTTGAAGATGGGTGTATGGGAGCAGACTTCGCCATTCTAGGCATGAACGTAATTGCACACTGTTGGAGTGAATTGACCAAGGGTAAGCACCCCGGATTGACAGCTTTTAAGTCTCTTGTGTCGCCTGTAGCAGGTCATGTTTGGGAACAAGCCTTCTCCGTTTGCCAGAGGGTGATAGTTGAAGGGCCTGCCATTCCCTTTCAAGGGGTTGCTCGACTGCCTCGACAGCCACCAGTGGTTATCCCCCCTGAGTCTGAGATGGTGGTATGGGCTCAACTTCAGGAAGGAGCCCCCAAGATGGTCCTTAATGCATTAATAGAACCCCTCGAGGACCAGGATGGGGAATGGTATGTAGCGCGGTCCCTGGTGATGGTGAGTGGAGGTAAGCTGCCAATGAGGATGTGCAACCCAAATCCTTATCCAGTAGAGGTCCCACTGCGCCGCCCATTGGCTAAGGTGACACAGACTGATGAGTGTGATGTACAAACGGGACAGGAGTTAGTAGTCGAGCCTGACGACTCTGGAGCTGTGGAAGTGGCAATTCGAGCTGTGACTAACCCCTCTGAATCTTCTACTCTTACAGATCTCCATCCTTGCTTTGCCATTGAGGGAGACAGTCTAAACCCAGATCAACACCAACGCCTCCTGCAGCTCTTAAAGAAATGGATTAGCGTGTTCTCCTCGCACGATGACGACTTTGGCAGAACCAATGCAGTACAACATCAGATACCCACAGGTGATGCCCCGCCTTGTCGAGAGCGCTACCGTCCTGTCCCCCCAAGTCTGTACCCGGAACTGAGGACCCTTCTCCAGGGCATGCTGGACAGTGGGGTGGTTCGTGAAAGCTCTAGTCCATGGGCAGCCCCAGTAGTCCTGGTTAAAAAGAAGGATGGCAGTTGGAGGTTCTGTGTGGATTATCGTAAGCTGAATGCAGTCACGCACAAGGATGCTTATCCGCTACCTCGCATCGAAGAATCCCTCACCGGGCTGAAGAGGGCCCAATGGTATTCAACACTCGACCTCGCTAGTGGATACTGGCAAGTAGAGATGGACCCCCAAGACCGGCAGAAGACTGCATTCACCACCCCCATGGGCCTCTATGAATTTGACCGCATGCCTTTTGGCCTGTGTAATGCACCCGCAACCTTCCAGAGGCTCATGCAAAGGTGCTTGGGGTCCATGGTGCATGACTTTCTGTTAATTTATTTGGATGATGTGGTGGTGTTTTCCCCTGACTTTGACAGCCATCTTCACCACTTAGAACAGGTGTTTTGGAGGTTGCATGAGCATGGCCTGAAGTTGCAACCAAGGAAGTGCAAGTTGTTTCAGCAACAGGTGACTTACTTGGGCCATGTCATCAGCAACCAGGGAGTAGCCACTGACCCTCAAAAGACAGCTGTGGTGAAGGAATGGCCTGTCCCACAAACCATCAAACAGGTGCGTTCCTTTCTGGGCTTTGCGGGGTATTATAGGAGATTTATACATGGCTTTTCACAAATTGCTGCCCCTCTTCATACCTTGCTGAAAGGAACGGCCACTGTTCGACAGGGAAATACCCAGGTGAATTGGACCGAAGCTTGCCAGGAATCCTTTGACAGACTTAAGAAAGACTTGGTACGTGCCCCGGTTCTTGCATATGCGGACTTCTCTCTCCCCTTCCGGTTGTATACTGATGCCAGCCTGGAGGGCTTGGGAGCAGTATTGGCCCAAGAACAGGATGGACAAGAGAGAGTAATAGCTTTTGCCAGCCGGAGTCTGCACCTCACGGAAAGAAATGATCAAAATTACAGCTCATTTAAACTCGAACTTTTAGCTCTGAAATGGGCGATAACAGAGAAGTTCAAAGATTACCTGTGGGGGGCCACCATAGAAGTTTTTACAGACAATAATCCGCTTGTACATCTAGCTACTGCCAACCTGGGAGCTGTGGAGCAACGTTGGGCGAACCAGCTGGCCAACTACCGGTATACCATCAAGTTTCGCCCTGGTAGAACTAACCAAAATGCTGATGCCCTTTCCAGGTTGCCAGGCGAGTGCACTGAGGCTGTTGTAAGGGTGGTGGCTGAACCAGCTGATTCGGCCCATCCTGCAGAGGACATCCTTCAGACTCCGGACCGGTGGTATAACTGTCAGTTTCAGGACCCAGGGCTGCAACTCCTGTGGGCTTGGAAAGCTGCGAACACGCTCCCACCCCCTCAGGAACGAAAAGGGGCTCCTCATCAGGTAAAGCGACTTCTGCTCGATTGGGAACGCATTGTAATTCGTGACAATTTACTGAAACGCAGATGTGCTGACCCAAGGACTGGTGAGGTATATTGGCAGGTGTTGGTCCCAGAGCAGGAAGCGCAAAAGTTATGGCAACAGTATCACGAAAGCTTGGGTCATCAAGGAGCAGAGAAGGTTTGGTCGGTATTGAGGAGACGTTTCTTTTGGCCAAGTATGCTGAGAAGTGTGGAGACCTGGACTGCGGCCTGTCCTCGTTGCCTCCGACAGAAGCCTGGACCTGGGTTAAGAGCCCCCCTGGTGCCGATCCCTACGTCCTACCCCTTTGAGGTATTGGGAATAGACTATTTGTCATTGGGAAGACCAGGGGACCCTTTCCCCTATATATTGGTCATGACTGACCTCTTCTCCAAGTATGCCTTTGCAGTTCCAACAAAAGAGCAGTCCGCGACCACGACAGCCAAAGCCCTGTACAGTGCTGTGATTCAGGTGGTGGGGTGCCCAGAAAGAATTCTCTCTGACCGTGGGGGTGCTTTCCAGTCAGCGGTAATGGAACAACTGTGCCAGTTGTATGGATGTAAACAGTCCCGAACCACCCCTTACCACCCTCAAGGTAATGGTGTGTGTGAGAGGTTTAATCAAACCTTGCTGTCTCTCCTTAGTTCTCTTTCAGAAGCTGATCAGAACCACTGGCCACAGAGTCTCCCTGCATTGCTACAGGCTTATAATAACACCACCCATAGTTCCACTGGTATGACCCCACATTTCATCGTATTTGGCCGGCATGCGCGCCTCCCAGTGGACTGGGTCGTAACTTCATCCCCTCCCAATTTAAGATATTCCCTGTCGGATTGGGTGAAGCAACACTATAGAACTCTGACACAAGCCTACAACGTGGTAAAGGCGAATGTTCAGAGGCAACAACAGAAGGACCAGCGAAGGTACGATCGACGGGCCAAGGTGGACTCACTTCTGCCAGGGGAACGTGTCCTCCCAAGGAATTTTCGCAGACGTGCAAAGGGCAAGCTGGCACCGCGTTGGGGCCCGGATGTCTGGGTGGTGGTAGCCCGACCTCGAGCGGATCGACCCGTTTATGTAATCTGTCCAGAAGGCCATGAAGGCCCCACTAAGACCATCCACCGCAATAATCTGCGCTGTTGCCCAGTGAACATATCCAGAGAGGATCCTTTGGAAGGGGAACCATCTATAAGCCAACCACAGCCCATGTCCTGGTATCCGGTCATAGCCGCTCCACTCGTCCATCAGCACCAGCTAACTGGTCATACCTCCACCACCACTTCAGTCGTACCGAACCCAGAGGGAGGTCTGTTGTCTGCAGCTAGTGGAGTAGACCTAACGACACAGACCCCAAGCCCGTCAACCGAAGAGCCGACGGGCGAACTGGAACACCGAGCACCGCCTGAAACCGTGTCCTGTCTGCCAAGCCTCCCTATGATGAGTCCAACGGGTGGGGCAGTAAGGCGGTCACAAAGATCCACCCGGGGGCAGCCCCCAACCAGGTACAGGAACATATAGAAAGTGGTCGGGACGACCAATAGAAAAGTGGGGGGGAAATGTCACAGGCTGGCTCAGTTCTTTCTTTTTTTTTTTTTTTTTTTTTTTTTTTTTTTTCCCTCTGCCTAATTAGAGACATTAGGGCCTTACTGTGTGATGGTTTTACTGTGTGTGGAAACGTATTTGCACTTTGATTTGTAGTGGGTATTCACTGTACGTATGCATCAGAATTTGTAGTGGGTTTTGTTGTTTCTATTACTTCTGCCCTATTTGACTCTTTTTAGATCTGTGTTATGTACAAACCTGGCAACCCACTTCCTGTTTTTTTACAATGCCCATATTTGGACTACTTCCTCTCCCAATAATGTGACTTAATTAGTTTATTTGGTACTCATTACTACATTGCTCCTCTCTGCCCATATTTGGACTATACTTCCTGTCACTGATTGAATAGACAAGAATTGATGATTGCCTATGCCTTGCAATTGATGATGATTTCAATTAGCAAACTAATGGTCTAACAACCACTCATGCCCTGGTTGAAGGATATAAAAGCTGGTTCTTTGGAAAAGAGAAGGGAGATTTTTTGTCTGGCTGCAGTTGTGCTGCGATTGTGTCTTTGGGTGCTCTACGGCTCTGCAAAGGATGTCCAGGTTTCAAGGCCTTTCGTCGGAACGTTGATGTACTACAACTATATTCCCTCAACGCTCTCTATTGCTGCCTGAAGGGCCGTAATTCTATTTTTCTTCAACACAGTGTGAGTGCGTGCCCATTTGATACTCGTGGCTGTCGTGGTCATTGTGATTGCTTTCTTCCAGCCTCCGCTATACGCAGCTTGTGGCTCCAGAGTCTGCCGTTTTCCTGAAGATCGTGTGGCTACCCTCGAACCTCCCTCAACGCTCGCTATCACTGCCTGAAGGGCCGTAATTCTATTTTTCTTCAACACAGTGTGAGTGCGTGCCCATTTGATACTCGTGGCTGTCGTGGTCATTAGGGCCCAAGCCCTGAAAGGGCGAAGGCCCTATTGTTTTCCTAAGGATTATTTATTAGGGCCCAAGCCCTGAAAGGGCGAAGGCCCTATTGTTTTCCTTGCGATTATTTTTCTTCTCTATTATTATTATAATAATTATTATTTTACTACCTTTTGGGCACTTTTGGGGCCCTTAACGTGCTCGAAAACTCTTGAAACTTTGCACACGGGTCAGAACCCGCGGCCATCAGAGCCGGGCTGAAGCTGGTACCTGGGCGTGGCAGGGGGGCTCGTCAGCGCCCCCTGGAACGGGGTCCGAACACTCGGTCCATAACTCAAACACGCTTGCATGTAATAATATGAAACTCGGTACACATGTTGATCTCATCGTTTCATCTATACCTCGCGCTCTTACTTTTTACCCCAGCCCAACAGGAAGTCGGCTATTGAGGTTTGTTTGTAAAACGCTCGCAATGGTATTTGAAATACTCCTCCTAGAGCTTTGATCCACATTCGACGAAACTCGGTCAGCGTGAAGTCAAGACATTGAGGATGAAAGTTTGCGAGGGGATTTTTGATATCTCGAACGGTTTGTCCGTGGCGAGGAAACGAAATCATGGCGAGAAACGTGAAACAGGAAGTGTGTTATAACCTCAGCATACATTAACTGATCTTGATGAAACTTCAGCAGTCTGTTTGCTGTAAGAGGACGATCACATGGATTTGACTATTGTGAGTCAAAGTTATAGCGCCACCAACTGGCAGCAGGAAGTGTGTCACTTTCAAAATGCTTTGATATCACCCTTTTATTTTTACCCGATTTGCTTCAAACTTAATCTGTATAATGTAAATACATAGCAGATGAAGACCTGTGAATGGATTCTTGATATCTTTGATACTGTTGCCGTGGCAGAGCATTAAACTTTAAAATTCTTTTTTTTTGATGATTTTGAGACTCTTAGCGGCTTTTGGGGCCCTTAACGGGTTTGAAAACTCTTGAAACTTTGCACACAGGTCAGATTCCACAGCCGTCAGAGCCGGGCTGAAGATGGTACCTGGGTGTGGCAGGGGGCTAGACAGCGCCCCCTGGAACGGGGTCCGAACACTTGGTCCATAACTCAAACACGCTTGCATGTAATAATATGAAACTCGGTACACATGTTGATCTCATCGTTCATATATACCTCAAACTATTACTTTTTACCCCAGCCCAACAGGAAGTTGGCTATTGAGGTTTGTTTGTAAAACGCTCGCAATGGAATGTGCAATACTCCTCCTAGAGAATTCAAACACACGGCACGAAACTCGGTCAGCATGAAGTCAAGGCATTGAGGATGAAAGTTTGCGAGGGGATTTTTGATATCTCGAACGGTTTGGCCGTGGCGAGGAAACGAAATTATGGCGAGAAACGTGAAACAGGAAGTGTGTTATAACTTCAGCATACATTAACTGATCTTATGAAACTTCAGCAGTGTGTTCGCTGTAAGAGGACGATCACATGGATGTGACTATTGTGAGTCAAAGTTATAGCGCCACCAACTGGCAGCAGGAAGTGTGTCACTTTCAAAATGCTTTGAAATCACCCTTTTATTTTTACCCGATTTGCTTCAAACTTAATCCGTATAATGTAAATATACGACAGATGTAGACCTGTGAATGGATTCTTGATATCTTTTAAACTGTTGCCGTGGCAACGCATCAAACTTTACCATTCTTTTAGGATGCTTTTGAGACCCTTAGCATGCTTCAAATCGCATGAAACTCGACAGACACATCACATTTATTAGCCAGTAGACATGTGCAAAGTTTCAGAAACGGGCGTGGTGAGGGCTCAGTAGCACCACCTTTTGACAAAAGTGGGGTTGTTAGTTTAACTAGAGTTACAAAAATCGGTATGTATATTGTACTCCTCGAGCCGGACAACTTTCTAATTGACACTCATTAGCTAGGACCCACAGAAAGTCAGATATCTTTGTTTGAATGTAGAGAAAATCTTAGAATTTTGCCAGTCTCTCAGTGTCTCTCTGTGTGAGTGAGAGGAGGGGCGCCTGTCAGGTTAATTTTAACCCTTTATTTGCTGTGTGCGACTTCTCTGGCATTTTCGGGGGCCTTAACATCCTCTAAAACTCTTGAAACTTTGCACACGGGTCAGAACCCATGGCCATCAGGGCCGGGCTGAAGCTGGTCATCGGGCGTGGCAGGGCGGCTCGACAGCGCCCCCTGGACTGGGATTCGAACATTTGTTCATAAATCAAACACACTTGCGTGAATTAATATGAAACTCGGTACAATTATAGATCACATCAGGCCAAACAACTTTCGTGCTCTAAGTTTTACGACAATTAAAATGGAAGTTGAGAATTATGGGTTGTTTGAATAGTTGTCCTAGGAGAAATACATCAAATTACAACGCATGTGTTTACCAATCACAACCAAACTCGGTGTGCAAGAAGTCAAGACATTGAGGATGAAAGTTTGTGAGGGGATTTTTGATATCTCAAACGGTTTGGCCGTGACGAGGAAACGAAATTATGGCGAGAAACGTGAAACAGGAAGTGTGTTATAACTTCAGCATACATTAACATATCTTGATGAAACTTCATCAGTGTGTTCGCTGTAAGAGGACGATCACATGGATGTGACTATTTCGAGTCAAAGTTATAGCGCCACCAACTGGCAGCAGGAAGTGTGTCACTTTCAAAATGCTTTGAAATCAACCTCTTATTTTTACCCGATTTGCTTCAAACTTCATCTGTATAATGTAAATACATGGCAGATGAAGACCTGTGAATGGATTCTTGATATCTTTGATACTGTTGCCGTGGCAACGCATCAAACTTTAAAATTCTTTTTTTTTTGATGATTTTGAGACTCTTAATGGCTTTTGAGGCCCTTAACGGGTTTGAAAACTCTTGAAACTTTGCACACAGGTCATATCCCACAGCCATCAGGCCCGGGCTGAAGATGGTACCTAGGCGTGGCAGGGGGGCTAGACAGCGCCCCCTGGAACGGGGTCCGAAAACTTGGTCCATAAATCAAACACGCTTGCATGTAATAATATGAATGAAAAACTTCATCTGTATAATGTAAACAGATGAAAAACTTCATCTGTATAATGATGAAAAACAGATGAAAAACTTCATCTGTATAATGTAAACATACGGTAGATGTAGACCTGTGAATGGATTCTTGATATCTTTTAAACTGTTGCCGTGGCAAAGCTTCAAACTTTGAAATTATTTTAGGATGCTTTTGAGACTCTTAGCATGCTTGAAATTGCATGAAACTCAACAGACACATCACATTTATTAGCCAGTAGACATGTGCAAAGTTTCAGAAACGGGCATGGTGCAGGGACTAAATAGCGCCACCTTTTGACAAAAGTGGGGTTGTTATTTTTATCTACAGTTACAAAAATCGTTATATACATTGTACTCCTCAAGCCAGACAACTTTCTAATTCATAGTCATTAGCTCAGACCAAGAGGAAGTCAGATATTTTGGTTTGAATATGGTGAGACTCTCTCTGAGCCTACGTCCGTGTATGGCAAGCCCTTTTAACATTTAAAAGCTAAGTTTGCCTATCCGGAAATTAACATTGTAGATATCAACAATGTCTTTCTGTCTAGTCGTAATTACATTTTGGATAGTTTGTATTATCATTTAAGATATCTGTAACATAATTGTGACTAGTCAAAATGACAGACTATGGCAAGCCGTTTTAACATTTAATCATGAAAGGGCCAAAGCCTTCGGCACCGCCACCCCGGTGCCTTTAGGTAACTAAAGGAGCCAGGGGTTGCGGTGCCACCGGCTTGGGCCCGCCATCGCTGCTCGCAGCTATATTTATTATTAAATATTTTGTAACCTTTTGGGCATTTTTGGGGCCCTTAACGTGCTCGAAAACTCTTGAAACTTTGCACATGGGTCAGAACCCGCGGCCATCAGAGCCGGGCTGAAGCTGGTACCCGGGCGTGGCAGGGCGGCTCGTCAGCGCCCCCTGGAACGGGGTCCGAACACTTGGTCCATAACTCAAACACGTTTGTATGTAA